AAAGTTTACCCAGAATGCACTTTGTAAAGTTTCCTCTGGTGACTGATCAGAACCAGAACCACATCCAGGGTACCACTGATTGTTTCTATGATGATGTGTCATAGACATTAAACTGTTTTCCACTGTGAGACATCCCATAATACTGATGCTACCAGTTACAGCAGTGATGGACCACAGCGGCATGGCCCACACCAACCACCCCCATCACACCATGGACCACTCCCATCACACCATGGCCACGCCCACCAGCAGCGGCCACGACCACGGAGGAGGAGGAGGGACTGAAGGAGGCCACGGATCACATGGCGGCATGGTGAGGGGCGGGGCTTATCACTGCTTTTATGTATGTGGCATCCTGAACACTTGATGTTAGCATGTTAACATTAGCTTTCGTTACCTAGGCGATGACCTTCTACTTTGGTTGCAACAATGTGGAGCTGCTGTTCACCGGGCTGCTCATCAACTCACCTGGAGGTCAGCATCACAGTCCACTTGGAGGGGCGGAGCTTATATGTTACACATTTGTTCTGTCTACCTGTATCTGAACTTGTCTCTGTCCCCTGTTGTCCAATCAGAGATGGTCGGGGCCTGTATAGGTGTCTTCCTGTTGGCCGTCCTGTACGAGGGGCTGAAGATTGGTCGTGAGGTTCTGCTGCGCCGCAGTCAGGTCAACGTCCGCTACAACTCAATGCCGCTCCCAGGGGCTGATGGGACGGTGCTGATGGAGACGCACAAGACGGTCGGGTATGTCGCTAATGCTAATGCTATCGCTAGTGGTGCTTACAGGGCAGGAGGCCGAGGCCGCGACGAGGACTGTGCTGTTTATTATTGCCTCATTTATAGGGAAAACTATGGAGGGTGAAGAACCATAGACGCCCTATCTCCTAGACACGAGATGAGGGAAGGTTGGCCTCTGCTCCACTCAGAACACTGCACATACATTTGCTATACGTACATCACACCTTTGCATTCAACTCTTCGTGGGAACTTCGGTAGAGTTGGAAAGATATTCACAGATTGGACTTCCAGCATCAATAACTCTTTTAGGAAACGTCATCACCACACACATGACGCCTCTTCACCATCGGCGTGAGGTGGACGATGTGCGACATCATCACTGATATCAGCAGCAGCAGCAGCAGCAGCGGCGTTGGTCTGCATGTGCAGCCGGCTGTGGGACCGTCTGGCAGCCAACACACGACTGTTAGCTGGACAAGAAAAGACTGTTTCATCAATTTAAACATTCTGGTTTCAGTTCATCAATGAACACTGGAACCGTTTAAGACGGTGTTCTGTTTTTATTTTCTCCCATTTGTCGGTACTTGAGGTGTCAGTCTGAATAGTTGATTGGCTTGTTGGTGTCTGATCGTCCGTGTGGGGAGGATTCTAAGGTAATGACGCCATTTCTACTGTGCAGTGTATAAAATACAGCTTCACACACATCAAGACAAGTAATCATTTAGTCATTGCACTTCACACACTAAACGTTGTACTGATAGAACTTTACTTGGCAAATGACAGCCTTGCTCACCTGCAGCCTCTTCAGCAGAACCTCTCTGATGGTTAGACTGAGTTTCATTAGTCGACAGTGGAGGAAGTTGCTGAATTTTATTGCGAATAATCATGTATTAAAATTATGAAACAGTCTTTTCTTGTCCAGCTAACAGTCGTGTGTTGGCTGCCAGACGGTCCCACAGCCGGCTGCACATGCAGACCAACGCCGGTGCTGCTGCTGCTGCTGCTGATATCAGTGATGATGTCGCACATCGTCCACCTCACGCCGATGGTGAAGAGGCGTCATGTGTGTGGTGATGACGTTTCCTTAAAGAGTTATTGATGCTGGAAGTCCAATCTGTGAATATCTTTCCAACTCTACGGAAGTTCTCACGAAGAGTTGAATGCATACGTGTGATGTACGTACAGCACATGTACACACGTGGACCAATAGCTGGTACCCGTCGGTTAATGAAAGAAAAACCCACAGCGGTCACAGAAACAACTTGAATCTGACAAAAGTAATAATAAATAAAAATTCTATGAAAATGAACCAATAAAGATCAGACGTTGCTTTTGAACCGTGGTTCAGCAGAATTGTTTAAAAAAATAAACTCATGAAACAGTTCTGGACAAAAATGATGGTACTCTAGAAAAGACTGAACATAATGTGACCACAGGGACATGTTCAATCAAGGTGTGTCCTCTAATTAGCACCACAGGTGTCTACAAACTAACCAGTCAGTGGGACTGTTTATAGGGTTACAGGTGGTCACTGTGCTGTTTGGTGACCTGGTGTGGACCACACTGAACATGGACCAGAGGAAGCCAAGGAGAGAGTTGTCTCAGGAGGTTAGACAGAACATGATAGAGCAGCATGTTAGAGGTAAAGGCTGTCAGACCATCTCCATCACTCACCTGCAGCTCTGCAGCAGCACACAGGTGACACACAGCTTCATTGGCTGCAGCTGATGGAGACCAGTGTGTAGAAACATTCTTCAAACCTTCATCACAAGCAGACGGAGGAACGTCTGACTGCTGAGCTCGCAGTAACCAGGTTAAGTTAACTAGCAGCCTGAACAGTTAACTACATGATACGAGCATATGTGAATGATTAAAGTAATTATTCTGTCTTATATGTGTGTGTTTAACTGTGGCTGTGTTCATACAGTCAGTTCAGAGCATCATCTGTCTTTGAGTTCCGCCCTCAGAGCAGAGCAGCAGCGTCCAGTGGCTTCAGGCTGAATGCTGGACAGAGAAGCTCAGCTGGTAGTCGCTGTAGGACACTGTCACAGTCCTGCATCAGCTAACTGAACAGGGAAGTGTGTGTAACGAGCTGATTACAGCTTTAGTTCTGACGTTTAATGAAACACGGCAGAAGCCTTAAACTGACGCTCTGATCAGGACAACATTAATCACTGTTCATTCTGTTCTCTTCATTTGTTAATAAAACAAACAAAACCAATCAGAGTGCCGGCTTGATGAGCAGAATCAGCGCCACCAGTGGACTGGATGATGCAGCTCACTGTAATAAACGCTGTTCATGAGCCAGGCAGCAGCACACGAGATACCTGATGTGACCGCAGACCACCTGGCTGTGCTCTTAGCATCATTAGCATCAGGATGTATTTCTACCCAAACTACAGGCTTTTCTTCTTCAAGCATTGACAACAACTTGGCTGCGTGTCTTACAGCACTAATGTGTCATTTTCGTTTTACAAAAGCTGTTAAGTTTATTTGTGTTTGCATTCTTGTGTAGATATAACTGAAACTTTTATTTTTTAATAGATGGATTATAGTTTCACAGAATGTTTCTTGTAATTTAGTCAAACAGTAAAAATCTATAAGCTAACAGAAACTCTTTGAAAATGCACATCAAAAAGTTGTTGATTGTGCTGCAGCCGCCGACCAATGACTGGAGGCCAAAACACTGGCGCTTACGTCAAACAAGAACGTCTGTCGTGACGTTCAATCGATGTCACCGATTATGTTGACCAATCAGAGCAGCTCTGATGTGAAGTCAGCCTCAGACGACGAATTTAAACAGATTTGAAATTAAAGTTGGAGGATTTTCATGATTATGATGCGTTTCCTGTCCCTGCCATGATTGACAGTCACTTGGAGGGGGCGGAGCTTCCGATTGGAACAAAGTCCCGTCTCTCAAGGGCATCGCCCAGGTATGGTCCTGCTTCTGGTTCTTTCCAGGTCTATGTTTGTGACCTGGAAAGAACTGGCTCTTATCCTGGTTCTGGTTCTGGTGCAGAGACTGGCGGTTCTGAGCTTGGTCCTGCTTTTGGTATCTGCTCAGGTCCCAAGTTCTGGTTCTGAGCCTGGTGCTGTTTCTCGTTTTAGATCTGGGTACCTTGGTGTGACATGCTCTGATCAGCCTGTTGATATTGATCCATGATCAGTGAATTGGTAATGAGCAGGTTCTGATCAGAGGATCTCACTGCAGGACCTTTCTTCTTCTGTGGTATAAATGATGGTCAGAGCTCTGGTGGACTTCAACATGACTTCCTGTTTCCTGTTGCACTCTGTTGCCCAGCTGGGTGGGAAGCGAGTGATGCTGGTGGTAAATGTAACATGAAGCACAACGCTGGGTTGGCGACGTCGCTACCATGCTACTGACATCATTGCTAATGTGAAGCTAAACAAACAGTATATGAAGGTTAGCACTAACTGCTAGCACTACATTTGTTTTTGCCTTCCATAGTGTTGCAGCTTCTTCACTGTTAGCATTGTTTACTTTGTGGTTACCTTTTAAAGCTACAAAGCTGATTCTGATTCTTCAGAGTTCTGATCATGTGCTGCCCTATCACTCAACACTAACCTCTACATTGCAGATGCGAACTGTTCTAACGCTTACATCACAAAGTGTAACGCTAACAGAAATGCTAACCACCCTTTTCTCTTCTTCCTTCCAGGCAGCGGATGCTAAGCCCCGCCCACTTCCTACAGACGCTGCTACACATTGTCCAGGTTGTCGTCAGCTACTTCCTGATGCTTGTCTTCATGACCTACAATGGCTACCTGTGCATCGCTGTGGCAGCTGGTGCCGGCATGGGCTACTTCCTGTTTAGCTGGCGGAAGGCCGTGGTTGTCGACATCACTGAGCACTGCCATTAACTAATGTGCTAGATAGCATAATTTCTGCAGATCACAATCGATTAACGCTAAGTAACACTCTCACCCTGTTAGCACACTAGTGGACGTGCTAAGGTAACTAATACACATAAAGTTAGCTCGTAAACTGACACGCTAAATTGCAAATGTTACCAGTTAAGCGTGGTAACGCCACGGCACACTGTAGGTTAGCTTACATGCTAACAAACAAACTTAATCCGTAAAATGTTGTCGTTTTTTCTCCATAAATGTGTTTTTTGGAACTCCTGTTGGTGAACAAGCCAGCCAATCAGAGCTTGGCTCACCTCAGTGGTTTGTGATTGGCCAAATCAATCTGTTTGTTGTTTTTTTTTTTTTTTTTTTGTGCCATGACAGCTCAACTCGTTAGCATACGTAGCGTTAGAAGGCCACCAATCAGGAAGCGGGATTTATTTCTTTGATAAGTTAGACATTCACTGATCAGGACATGTTTCACTTTGACAGTTTTCATTTGTTTGTTTTGTTCGAAGACATTAAGAAAAACCGTCTTCACGAGTTGGTTGCCGCTGATTCATCGACTGACTCAGACTAACTGGAAAATAAAGATTAACATCGAAACATTGGACCTGCAGAACTTCACATTTGTTTTAAACTGACAGTTCTGGTTTAGTTCACCTTCTCTTTCTTTGAATCATTTTCAAAAAATATAGAAATGTGGAAAACATAAAAATAGAATATGGCTAAGATCATTTTTAAAAATGTAAACCAGATATTCAGATGTTTGTCAGTGGATGAGTTTGATGTCGATCCTTCTGTAGACGGAACAGCTTCAGGTCGGGTCTCTGACCCCGTCTCTGCAGGATCCTTTTTACATAAACCATCATGAAACTTGAAGCATTTGTTCATCGGCCAGTTTATATGTCAGCATCAGCGTCCTGAATGAAAAGACTAAGTGTTTCCTGGGCCACCGCCGGCCTTAAACGCCGCCGCCTGCTGCCTTACTGACGGCCAGACGTCCTGCTGGTGGCGCCGTGTTCGACCTCTTGGTGCTCTCGCCTCGAACACAACGGCGTCTGCACTGCTTCAGTCTGTGTGTCGTAGAAAACGGTTTCAGTGAAATAAGTTCTAGGAAGCGTCTTTACTGTCGTGATTTTTACTTTATTTGAGTCGATTTACATCGAGGGGCGGAGTCTTGTTTTGGACCAATGAGATCGCAGGGACAGATCAGTTACTGGATTTCTTTACATTTAAATCGTGTGTGGCCAAGCGTCCAGATCACGGCTGTACGTTTGGCGCCGAATACCGGCGTCCACGGCGGTTTCAGGTCTCATCTCGGTGTCAGTCGCCTCTATGTAGAAAATGAAGTCGAGGTTTTATGATGTCAAACGTGTGTGAAGGAAACTGTTTTATCTGGAAGTGTTTTAAATGTCACAAATGCTGGAATCATTACAAACTGAATAAAGTCTATATACATCTGCTCATTGGCTCATTTCTGTGCCGAAAACC